ATGGGATCTCTGTCAGGGTTGAGGTCCACCCCATCAGGCTTTCTGAGTGCCATGTTCCCGATAGTAGCCATGCCCCTGATGGGCAGGTTGTATTTAGCAGCGCTAAGGCTTTCGTCAAAAGTAGTTTTTACCCAACCTGCAGATCCAGCGCTGTAGGCGACTATTCTCCGGGGGAAAGGTGCATGTGATCCGTGGCGATGTCCAGGAGGTCAATAGAGGTGTCCGTATCGTAAGTGACGTCCGTGGCAGTGGAGAGGGCATCGGAGTAGTCCGAGCCGTACTATGCAGGAGCCGCTGCCGTGGGGTCTACCGCCTCGGCCATGTCTTCAGCTTCATCATCTTCTTGCTGGTCGTCTTCTTCTGGTTTGGGCGAAGCAGGTTCCCCCGCATTCCAACCGCGGTTGAATATCTTTAACTAACGAACAAGTGAAACGGTTTTTCCATATCTTCATGTATTGAAATATTTCTTGGGCTGTAGCTTGTTCGTAGTCGTCTTCCGTCAACTGCTCGTCGCATGGTGTTGTATTCGGATCGGCGCAGTGGCCCCAGCCATTGCCGTGAGACCAGACCCACTATGTCTTGCGGAAGTTGGGGCTCCTTGATGGGCGCCTCGTGGGGCAGCCGAGCCTGTGGTCGGCATGCTCGAAGCAAATGCAAACAACGCCTCGGTGAAGTTTCCGTTCCTCGGTGATGGCCCTCTTGAAGTCACGCTTTATAAAAGCTTCTTGTGTTTTGACAGCGCCCTTTCTTTTTGAGCGGATGACTTTGCCTTCGTTATGTCGTTCAACATTGCGAGGGGAATGCCAGTGGCGAACCTGGTACTCAGTCCAACCCTTGTTCAACCAGTGTCGCATCGTTTCTGGCTCTATGTGCTGACGAGCCAATCCAGCATCCGAGCAGTCAGCGGGGCGCTGTAGTTCGTCGTCTGGATATTCTTCGCGAGGTTCTTCCCCTTGGCGCGGGTGTCCCCGGGAGCGCTCCCTCCTCGGTGGAGTGTCAGGTCGATTGTCCTTCCTTGGAGGGGTCCTTGGGGTCCTCTCACCAGGGGGGTGGGGGCGCTGAAGGCCGCTGGAGCGACCGCCGCTGGAGCGCGCGCGCGCGTTCGGGTGCGCCGCTGCGGGCCCGGCCGCGGCGCGCCAGACGTGCGTCATCTTCCCATTCTTCGTCGTTGTCGCCGGCGCGATACTTGCGTCTCCAAGCCTGGCGGCTTCCCGATCGCTCCTGGCGGCTCAAGGAGCGGTCCGAAACTGCGAGTGTATATTGAAGTCCTTCGTTGTGGCCGAGCTCGTACTGGATGCGTTCAGACAGATCGCCAGCGTCTCGCGGGTCTCCCCGCAGAGGGTCATCACCACTCAAGTCCATGCTTGTCGGAGTCCCAATAACCCGATGATAAAGCAGCAAGTGTATTTCCTCCTCTGTTTCAGGAATAGTGACTTCTGAATCCGCTCACCTCCATTTCGTCATCTCCGTCGGCGGGCATGTGGGCGTCCTCGACAAATTCAATATCGGCAGGTTGCCCCGCGATGGGTATGCCCAGCCAGTCTGCCAGGTCGATCTCATTGTGGCCAGTGAATATCTCTTCGAACAGCTCGTTGGCATAATTCTCGAGGGACATGCCGGCGCTCAAATATCTGGCAGCCATGAAACTCACAACTGCAACTTGGCTGTCGGCAGGTTCGGCCGGAAATGATGCCTAGTCAACGTACTGTATGTCCGAGTCAGTTTGAGCCAAATGTATCGACGGACCTCTGCCCCTCCCATCGCCCTGAGAGCATTCGCGGCGAAAGTGCTGTGTGCTATGGCAGATGTCGCGCTCCATAGTTTTACCGTTGGCATCCTCTGGCTTTCCCCGACGTCCCTTGCCTTTTCCTGATGTGTGCCTGCCGTTCCTGCTTGCACCCTGGAACATCTCTTCATATTGCGGACCAGTAGGGGAAGCTAGAAATGCCAACCTGCCTCTGCCATGAAGTCGCCGCCGTTTACCTTTACCCTTGCCTCGACCCTTGCCTTTTCCTCCGGGTGCCCGTCGGGTAGTACGCGGTACCTTGCGAACTGGCTTCTTCATAAATCGCCTCCACCTGCGTTCATGTTTCTGGTATCCTAAGAATAACCATTGCGCCTGTTGTTCTTCCGTGAGGTACGTGGGCATATCGGAGTAGTCTAAGGGGGGTGGACTCGTCGTCCGAAGACGCGTCGGTGTCGGTGCCAGAGTCGATGGCGGACTCAGCAGGTTGCCCCGCTGAGCCCATTAGGGTAGTGGCTTGTGTAGGGGCTGCCGCGTCGGGCGGTCCCCGAAACCGGGCCCGGGAGTCTTGCAACCCCGAGGCCGAACCACCATTTTGAGTCAATAATGTGGTGGTCTCCGTTGTTTGCGGATCGTCGTTCCAGACGTTATTAGCAAGTTGCCCTGCGCTGGCCTCAGCGTGGAAGGTCTCGGTGCGGTGACTGTGACTGAAGATACCACCAATATTGTCCGGGGTTCTTCAGCAAGGTGGGCATATGACCTCGTGCGTTCTAGCAGAGTCAAGCTTTTGGTGGTCCTTCGGCATGTGGTGGCTTAGTGGCTGTAGGAGTTATTGTGAACGCGACGTCTCCACTCCAAGGGCCCTGAATACAAAAAAACACTGTTAGAGTTTGGAAGATTGGGATGCTGAGGCCTGCCGTTTCAGCTTCAGTGCGGGCTATCTCGAAGCGTGCCAAAATCTGGTCGATCCGTCCCCCGCATGGACTCGGAAGTCAATGAGAGCTGTACCAGAGTTGAGTTGGCGTTCCTCTTCTAGGTTCTCAAACTTCGTAATTAAGATGAAGATGATGTAGGTGACGCCATCGGTATGGCGGCCACCTGTGTTCACACCGAAATTGATGACTGCTGGGGGAACACTCATGGCTATGGTCCGTGCGAGGCCTCCCAAGCCTCGCTGCAAGGCTGCAGCTTGTCGGGAGGGCGTCATGGTGCCTGTGGTCACGTTGGTCCAAGGATGCACCTCGCGAGCGAATTCGCGGAAAGGTGCTTGACCGGACGGGTCCCAATGGGGGCTGGTCGTTCTTGCGTCGTCTCCGCCACGCATGTGTCCCACCGCACGCCCGATAGCAACCCATGTGAGCCCAAAGAAAGTTTTACCAATCCAATGGCCTCGTAGGTTGTAGTCGGATGCGGTTGGTTGGGGTTGCGGTGTGTGGTCGTAAGCCTGCGGGGGGGTGGAGGCGGCACAATGTCGTATCGCATGTTTCCATGCATTACGTCTTCGAAGAAGCTTCCAAGTGGAGTAGGGGGGTGGACTTCAGGAGTGTAGTAGCGCAGGGATGTGGGACGCGAGTAAGAGGCTTCTGCGTAGGCAAAGGTATCACTGCAAGTGTCCGTGCTGTGTTGCGTAGTTACATACATTCTTCCGCGCAAACCCACTGCACCTTCATGTTCAACCACGTCACTAGTCCACCAGATAGTGCCGTGGATGGTGAGGAGTAGAGCTAGAGCTGACCACCATAGGCCAGCTCCGCTACCATGTTTGAAAAAAGGGTTGGGAGGCCCAACCAACAGTTTCGCCTTAGGCGAAGCCCAGTTCCAGCTCAGTTGTACCGTAGTAGCGATAGTCCCAGTAGTAGGAGGCGGGCCATCTCAAGCAGTTTTGGTATCGATGGCAAATAGTACACCTCGCACTGAGGTGTAGTCAGATCTGAGCGGCCGGCCGCTTTGAGCCAAGCGGCCGCGGGCGCACGCTCCTTCCCACTCACCTGGATCGCCCAGCTCACTTCAAAGTAAAAGGCCTTCAAAACGGCCCGAAAAGCCGCTAAGAGGTCCTCGAGGAAGGCCTGAAGAAACCAAACTTATAATGTTTCTTTGAATCTTTGAAGCATGTTCGCATTTGCCTCAAAACGGCCTTCCGACGGCCCAAGACGACCCCAAAATGCCCCCAATATTGCCCCCAAAGATGGCCCACGAGATCTCCAAGACGCCCAAGATGGCTTCTAAGACGGCTCTGCAGCGCCCCAACAGGGCCCCAAGACGGCCCAGAAAGCCTCCCCAAATGGCTTCCGACGGCGTGAGACGGGCCAGGAACGCCGTAAGACTGCCAAAGGGGTACCCAAGATGCCCCCAAATGCCTCCAGGAGGCCCAAGGAGGCCCCTAACCTCCAAGAGGCTCTCAGGAAACTCCCAGGAGGCTCCAGGAATGACGCATGAGGCTTCCAAAAGATCTTCTCATCCTTCTCCTCCTCCTACTCCTCCTCCTCTTCCTTCTTCCTCCGTCTCCTCGTCCTCCTTTTCCTCGCCCACGTGTTCCCCGACAGATTTCCACAGCGGCTCGGGGAACACCTGGTCCGATGCCTTGTGCAATCTCTTGACCCAGACGTTTGGCCACAGAGGCGCTTTTCTAAAAGGCAGGGGGCGGCGGTGAATGCCGTGTCTTCGATATGGGGCTCTCGCATCTTCCATTCCGCTACACGCAAGAGTGACCCTGGGTAAGGGTGACCTCTGGTGAGCGGCTTTCGGGGAGCCGCGGAGGGGCCAAACCCAAGCGCGCAAGATACACCTATCGCACCGCATTCGGCGATCGGAGGACCCCAGTGGGCCCGCACCAAAGGTCACTCCGGCGAAAGGTAACTCTTACGTGATCCATGCCCACGCCCCCGAAGCTTAGACGGATAGGGCCACTAAGAGTCTGGACCTCCAGGATTACCCCAATGTCACAGAATGCTCCACTGTGGCCCAGCAGCCTGTGCTGCCCGGGCACACCGAGGGAGCGAGGAAGGGGGAGCAGCCAGGAACAGCTGGACCAGGCTGGCGAAAGAGGGGCCGCTCGCGACGAGGCCGGCGATCGCAAACATGGAACCTTGGGGTTTGGCTTAGCGACGGGTGCCGTGGAACCGCGGATTTCCGCCGCCGAGGGAGGCGTTTTTTTTTTTTTTTTTTTTTTTTTTTTTTTTTTTTTTTTTTTTTTTTTTTTTTTTTTTTTTTTTTTTTTGTATATATATATATATATTATTAGATTTAATATATATATATTCACATCTATATATGTATGTAAAAAAAAAAGATTTGGCGACCGCGCGCCACATGCATGGATCGCCAATACATGTCTGCGCCCCCGAGACGAGGCCGGCGCAGGGCTCAAGTCGGCGTGCTGGGCACGGGGATCGCACCTTGGCCTCCCCTGCAGCCTCTGCGCGGCCGTGCTCGGCAGGACCTGGCCTGGGCTAGCCCTTGGACGAAGCCTCGGAGGGCAGGCGCACGTAGCCGTAGGTGAAGCAGCCCAGGAGGGACACGGCGCAGCCCAGGAGCGACATAGGCGTGAGGTGCTCATGAAACAAACCTTTGGGTGACCCAAAACGGGGTCCAACTGAAAGGGGGTGGTGCAGTAGATTTGGGGCAATTGTATTACAAATGTATTGCGCTGGGGAATTGTACTGCGTTGTACTGCAGGTAACGTATTGCACGCGAAAGTGCAACAATACATTTGCGGTCCGAAATGTATTGCACGACCCAAATGTATTGCAACCTCACAAATCTATTGCGCCAATTCATTGCACCACCCCCTTATCGGTGGACACCCTTTTGGGTCAACCCCGAAACCTACGCCAATTGAGATGATCACCGGGGAGACGTAAGACTCGGGTTCGGGGGGGCTCGGGTTGGCCCGACGGGGCCAGCACGAACATGACAAGACCGAATCTGAAATTTGACGCGAGCTCCCGCTGTAAACATCCCACGGAAACTGGACAATCAAAGTCCCGGACGCGCTCGTCAAGAAGCGTCGGCAAACCCGAGTCGGGGCGTACTCGAGTCTTTCGTTTTCCCGAAATAAGTATCTTGTTGAAGTTCTGCAGCATGAGTACCGAGGTGCCCGAAAACAGCTGCTGTGTACGAAGACCCACATAACCCAATGACGCCCCGCACATCCCAGACATCAACACCAGGAACCAAGTGGTCTTGTCAGCAGATAAGAGGGAGTGGCTCCATTGAGAAATCTCACCGTTGACCAGCGCAATGGCGAATAGCGGGAAAATGCCTAAAGAGTTGTTTACCAGCATACATAGAGCTATGCTCATGCTGAAATCCGCGTGCCCCTTAAGCAAATAGCTCTGCACGAGCCGGTCCGTGATGGTGAAGAGGCTGTTCAGGAGGATCAACACCTTGCCTAAATTTGTGGCAGAGATGTCAAAATAACCGTACAGCACGGTGCCAGCCAGAGTCATCAGCAACGACACGACCACTTTCCAATTCACAGACGCTGGCTGGTTGAACAGAGCCTTCTCGCACCCGAACGTCAGAATCGGTAGTATGTTCTTCATGATCAAGATTGTAGTCAAGCTCGCATTTTTGAATGCGAACATCGACGTTCCGAGCATTCCGGAAAAGGCGAACGGCACGATCAACCATTTCAGGAAGTCCGTACACTTGTCCAGCTTCATATTGCTGTGTTCCATGCATATTATCACGACAACAGACACCAACATCTGTAGGATGACCAGAAGGCAAGTTCCTTCGAACGCCTTCGCCGCCTTCTTGTTGAGAACGTTCATGGCGAGGCTGGCCAACACATACAGTCCACTGACGACCAACGCCACTACCATGTTCTGTTCCTTCAACGCGTCCGTGCGCAACAGGTGAAGGATCACTGGAGTGCTGAATATCGCGGCCGCCATCATAATGTCGTCTTTGAGCGCTATCCCTGGCCCAAGTACACCCGAATTCTTGCCCGCAACGGTGCTGTTGTGGGAGCCCAGCGTGCTCGTCTTATTGCCAAGACGTAAAGCAATTATACCAGGACAGCCAACGTACCTCGCCTCCACACTACCAGAACATGCAATGCATATATCACGAGTCAGACTAATGACCGTGGCCAAAGATAGAAGCGAAATCAAAACACGTAACCATCTTGTGAGCGGCATTGTTGTTATCCGCCATCGTGCCTCGAGGCACGAGTTGGTGTGTTCTCAGGTCCTTTGAGTCTTGAGTCCTCGGTCCTGAGGATTGAATATCGAGGGGCCTGGGCCGTAACTTCACGGATTTCCTTGGTGTGCCGCGTGTTCCCCTGCCAACTTTTTTTGAGGCAAGGGAACTCTCACACGGGCGAAGAGGGCCCTAATATTCCCCCTCGACGGTCCAAGAGGGCCCCTAGTCGGCCCAATATCGCTCCAAAATGCCCAAGAGAGCCCCGAGGGACCTCCCAAGAGGGTCCCAAGATGCCAACATCATTTCAAAATGGCCCAAGAGGCCTCCTCGAGAGAGCCCCTAGAGGGTCCACAGGCAGCCCAAGATGCCCAAAGTCGGCCAAAGAGGGCCCCAAACTGACTTCACGAGGCCCCCGAGATGCCCCCGATAGGCCCCCAAGACCACCTCCAAGAGGCCTTCGAGGGGTCTCCCAAGAGATCCCCGCAAGCATCCAGTAGGCCACTGACCCACAATCAAGGCACGGCGGCGGGATGGGCAGAAAGCTACGTAGACAGCAACGCAAATTAGTTAGTGAGGGGAAACCCTGTCCGATATCAGGAAGGCGGGCAGTTCCTGAAGGACATCAAGGTGAGTATCGACGCTCCTAACTGTTGAGCATCCAGACCTACTTGAGCCAAACACGCTCGAGCAAAAAATGTTACTGGTGCAATTACGTTGGTCGGCAGATCTGTCACTGGACACTTTTGGGACGTGCAGCTCACTTGGTTCCCGAATCCTTCTTGGAAAACTCTGCCTCCGCATCCCAGCAGCCATCTGGGCGTAGGTTGTCTGGAGCCTCACGTCCCAGCGCTTCCAAGCAAACCCTTCTTCCCCTTCGAAGAGGGCTCGCCCCTTCTCCTAGTTCACGCCGCAACACTTCCCCCTCCTCGCCTGTCATAGCATGTTTTTGCTGGACTTGAATCTTGAGGGCTGGGGATGCCTGCCTGCTTCAGTGGAGGCTTGCTGGTGGTGTATGCGCCCGCTCTCCCGGCCTCCGACGTCGCAGCATTTCACGACGTGGATCCCGGAAATGAGGGGCAATGTCTGGGGGCGGCCAGCTCAGGGGGGGGAGAGAACATCGGCCTGGCATCGGCGGCGCATCGCTGCGACGGATACATCCCCGATAGATCGGCGGCGTGCCCCCGACAGCGAACCCGCACGGTCCTCGGCGGGGTGGGCTCCTGGACCCCCGCCGACGATTCATGGGCCATCGGGGGTCGATGCGTATCCCCCAGAGCTTACCCCCCCTGACGTTGCCCCCGAGGAGATCTGGACCCCGCCTCCGGGACAAACTGCTCGTCGCGGTCTGGCTTTGGCTTGCCGTGGCCCCCCCGACGCGCTCCGAGGAACCCTCGCGGCGGGCTCCCGGCACCGGCTGCGAGCGCGCGCTGGGGGTGACAAGCCCTCCGAGAAGAGAAGGACCGGGATCTCGTGTGCGGCGGGGCCCCGAAAACGAGCTCGCGCACCCGTTCCAAACGGCCGCCATTCCGGCACAACCCAGGATCCTGCTCCACCGGACGGCTGGTCCCGACACCCGCAACTTCCTCCCGCTGACATGGCCTCCGCTCTCCCAGGAGGGAGAACAGGACGACGGGGAGGGAGAGGGGACGGGCGGGGAGGAGGGAGGGGAGGAGCTATGAGGCGAGGGATCAGTATCAGTAATCGCGATGATGGCTGCGGTTGGGAACCCTGCTAATCGCGGGGTGTGCGAGGGGCGAGGTGAAAGTTGCAGCGGAGGGCTCGTTCGCTCGACCCTGGAGCGACGACGTCCTATGCAAGCCTACAGCTACCAGCGCCTGCGCCAAGCAGCGCCCCACATTTCCACCGTGCCGAGTTGTCCGCTCGCGCACGCGTGTGCGCAAAACAGCCAGTACGCCTGGTGTCATGAGTGGGTGCGCCGCGCGCGCTGGAAATTGCATCCACCAGCTCGCATGGCCGCCTCCGCTGCGATGCTGGCGAGGGTGCGTAGCCTGTTCGCGAGCGCGAGCCGGCAAAACTTGAATGGGCCAGTGGCCCCAGGACTGGAGCCTTAGAGCTCCGTCTTGCCACCGCCGTCCTTCTGCATGAATGCCAGCACCTTCTTCATCAAAGGCACGTCCTCCGCCACGATCTTCAGTGCGTTTCTTACCTTGCCCTCCAGCTTGCCTGCTGACATCGCCATGAACTTCTCCAGTTTCTCTTTCACGTCAGCGCTGCACAAGTCCAGATTTGTTGGGCCACACTGGGGACCGAGGTTCTCTTCGGCAAACTTCTTAAGGTCGTCGAACGTACGACCGCCCTTGTAGTTCTGAAGGTCGTCTGGATCCCCATACATGATCGTGGGATAGCCACGGATGTTGTGCTTTGTGCACAACTCCTTGCCCTCGGCGGTGCAGTCGACGTCCGCCACGAGCGAGGTGGTGGAATCCTGTAGGTGAGGCGTGCATTTTGAATCGCAAGCTGCCCCCCTGCAACACAACAAGACAAGCAAATGTGCGATACGTGAAGAAGGGCGGACCAGCCCGTCGCACTCACACATCAGCTGTTGCGTACTGAGCGATACGTCTGGTATCGATATCCAAAATGCGGCTGGACTCGCCCTCCTCCCTTCTCATCCTCGGAGCGGTGGAAGCGGATTTGACAAGGCGAAGAAGGAATACATAATGGATATCGTCAGAAGAATGAGGTGGGGTGCTTCGGCATGGGGTCCTTGAACTCATCCATCAGCTTGTCCCAATCTGGCTTCAGCTTCTTGCAATGGCCTCACCTCAGCATGTCTATACTAGCGAGGCGAGATGAGAAATGGGCTGCGAATGTGATGGTGAGCCAGGTGTAACGATGTAACGTGATGAGGATGAGAAGGCGGGCTTGTGCCTTCCTCGTGAGAAGATCTCACCCTGCCCCTGTGCACGATAAACTATCTAAACAGTTGGGCTGGTCGTTCCACCCGCGCCAATTTCGGCAAGCAATCGCACAGGGCCTCGTCAAGCATGGTCCACCCAAAAAAAGGCGATCAATTCCTGTCTTCCTGCTTATTCTCCTTTTCGTTCCTTTCCAGTGCTCATCATCCTCTTCATGCTGCTGCTGCGCCTGTTCTCCTTCCTCCTTCGAAACGTCACATTGAAGGGATCTTGGCCTGGGCATCTACGCGCGATTCGTCTGTCATTGCTTCGTGCGCTGTGTATACACGATTTGCACCGGTACCCCCAACCCTCACGACGTGGGCCCTCGTCTTGAACAGAGAGCACCTGCTCTCTCCCCTCGTCCCGCCTCCTCCCTCCTCCGCGTCTCCTGCTTCCCTCATCGCATCCCTCGTCGCTTCCTCTTCTCCTTCCTTGCACTCCCTGACGGCTGCCAGGCGTGCAGCCGTCGCCACTTCGCCACTCCCCCTTGGGGTTCACCTGCATGGCTCCAGCGCACTAGCGCACTTGGTCAGCAACCACTGACTCATTGATCTTCACGTCTTCCCACATCTTCCCACACATGCGCAGCACACGAGCGTGTACCTAGACCACCTGACTTCGTGCATCCAAATACGCGGTTGTCTTTGCGCACTCGCGCTGCGCACCGAATAACGGCACTCTCTCTCTCTGGCCCAGGCCGCAACGCGCGAAGCTCGGCTATCTTCGCGCCCTTGCAGGTGACGTAGGCGTACCCAAGGCTCCAGAGAAGATCGGTCAAGGGGGGGGAGAAGGCCAGATCCGCTCAAAATCTGTGCCTGGACTCCTCCCAGGGTCGAAGCTGACTAGTTTTTCGAGCCGCGTCCAGCCGTAATGACGAGAGGTCCCTTTCTCCCCACTTCCTGCTGGCCAGAACCAGTGCTGGGCCACCTCAGCCCCCTGGCCGGCTCCAAAGCTCGCCCCACCACCCCGAAGGACCAGCCGACGGCGGTCGGGCGCGTAAGGCGGTTGAAGCGGATCGAGGCGCGCCGAGGCCCAGGCCACGGAGCCAAAAACTTGATCCGCTACCGCGCTGCTGCGGTTGGCGCGTCTCGGCCCCAGCCTGTTTTCTCCTGCGTTCGAAACGAGAGCTGGTCCTCTTCCATGCGTATCGAACCCAACGTGCCTCTATTTATGGCCCCATGCTACTTGGCTCCTGGCCCTCTGAGGGGAAGACGGCGCCCCAAATAAGGGCTTCAATTGCAGTTCAGATTCCCTATCGCTTGCCTATTGAGC